TGCAGGAGCCTTCCCACTATTCGAAAAGGCGATTGATCAATATGCCGAATCGGGAAGCCTGGATACTGCTGCTATGTCGGTTGAGAAAGCCGCAAAGGTCGTAGTCCTTCAGGAGCCTGAGAAGGCTATCAAAGTACGAGTTTATTTTCTTTGACCCAACTCACTATCGAAAAGATAAGTTGAGCCTGATTCTAAGTCGTGATTAACTTATCTTTGTGAGTTGTTTCTCTATCTTCCTGTCTTATTCCAGTTATATGAGAAAGGACTAGCACTGGTACAGCAATCTGATCGTTCGAAACTAGCAGGGGAATTTCTGAGTCAGATAGCACGCCTGAATCTTCGACTGGAACGTTACAGCGAAGCGACGAAGGCTATTCGCGATGAAATAGAAAAGTACGTCGAAGTTAGAGTAAGTTCTATCATGAAAAACCGTACTTTACATTATGTCACCTGCTGGGTGTCTTAATAAAGTCGCTTTCGGAGGGTAATACTTAATAGCGAGCTTTTTCAGGAAGCTGGACGCGTGGGTCAACTTGCAGTTGCGCTGGTCCTTGTGCAACTAGCAATGGGTGATTCGGTAGCAGCTGCGAAGTATTACCAGTGGACAGTAGAGTGGGTCATACTAAATGTTTGAATTGTTAGTAGTAGGACTGTCTCGTTAACATTGATATTTCAAGACAGTGCGCTGAATTCGAGTTCACAGATGACGCAAGAGCATGTCGCCAATTGATTGGTGGTTGGGAGGGCGGAGATGATGAACAGTTCCAAAATGTGCTGAAGGATGGCGTCTTGCGCAGCATGGATAATGAAGTAGGTTTTATTCTTAATAGCCTGTTCTGCGATTCTCTGATGAGTAAAATCCTTTTCCTGCCCAGGTAGAACAGCCCGCAGTGAGTGTGAATGGTGAGGGCGCCGCGGATATCGTTACCCGAAATAAGGCCACTCATGGTCAGGCGGATGCGTTCATTCACCTGTGGGACCGTTGAGGTGGCTATTTCCTCGCCCATGTTCCTGTGACCTCATATTTGTCTATGCTTTCTCGTACACACGGGCGATGTTTCGTTCTTCGTATGTTGTCCCCATGTAAAGGGTTTCGATAGAAATTCCGAAATACTGCTTCTCTTCATTGGAGAGGCGTAGCTAGCGTCATCGAGAGAGAGAGCGAGCGACATTCGTTCCACGCCAAGCTGCAAATCGGCAGAAGTTACTTTTTGAGAGCTATTATGACCTTATCATTGATATAACTGACAGTAACCTTGGAGATGCTGAAAGAATTCGATAATCGTTACAAAATCGGGAGACTGACCAAGACACTCACAATCCGCCTGCCTCGTTTTCAGTCGCGCGCGTCGCACTATCGGTCTGTCACGCCTGCGGTCATCGAGGAGTGCGCATTTTGTTGATTTGGAACCACGAAAACCCTATGAATATACAAAGGCCAAGAAGGTACAATGCGGCTGAAATATACCACTTTATCCCACCTCTACACACTATAAATAACGAAGGACCAGGCCAGTCCCAACTCTGCGTGGTAGAGTGAGAAGACAGAAGAGGTAGACGTCGTATCATAGTATGGCAACATAGTCTAGGTGGAAGGTTTCGTAATGCCTTCATGCAAAAAAATGACACTGAATAGATTCGCGCAGTGTGACTCGCGTCGTCACAGAGACTCCCGAGTCTATAATAACGAGAAAACGATCACGACACAACACACTCTGAGAGAGAAAACCAGCCATATTTCGAAGTTCTCACTGAATTGCTGGCATGTGGGGAAGTATCTGTGAGACACTCAACTAACTCATCAGACATACGTTTTCGGTGAGAAATGTAACAGACATATATACCACATGCGCATACTGTCCATCTGACTCTTTGTTGAATGGTATCGTTAATTTTCCCCAGACCATACTGAATCTAAGTAGCAGACGATAGCGATGAGAGAGCTGAATAGTAAGTGTCTATGCATTCGCACTAATACGAAATACTTGGAATTTTATCATTCCATTGTTCCACGAAGTTTTCCAATGCGCCAGGTTTCATCTACAAGATGAGACTGAAAATAATAGAAAGGTGCCTGAGAGCCCTTAAACAAATAAAAAGATGGTCTTCGAATCCGAGCTTCACTATGACATAGGACATACAGTCCTAATACTATCCTAAGTACGTTTTCGAATATGCTAGAACAGTCAATCGCAATCCGAATCTTTCGAATAAAATCTTCGAAAGGATTAGTCTTTGCGATTAATATCATACTGGCTTTGAGAGGTATTTTGATCGCGAATGCGAATTATACATATTAAGCTCGTATATCAAGTGATCTCACTCATGAAGAAACTTCATGCAGGCCATCATGTTAGCGTCTTGAATGGAAAGGCGAAGATAAAACAAAGGTAAGTGATGAAGAGGACTTGAAAGTGAAAAATCTTGTAGATGAGAAAAAAGCTATTTATTATCGCTCATTACTGCTCTGCAGTTGTGCTCAGCTATTATTTCATGCCATAAGATTGTCAATCTGCAATACCTGCAGCCCTTGATTTCACTGTTAAGTTACTTGCATTCCAGCGAATACTTGTGATGTTTACTCTGAATAGTAATAATGGTAGCTTGTACATTGCTTGTTTGATATTGTTGTATAATAACCAAATTTTAAATTTTTATGAATCCTGGTGGTCTACTAATCAAATGTTTTGGTTGTATATGTTTACATAATAAATGGATATACCAGTTGTATTTGCTTTCTTTATCTAGCCTAGAAGTTCTGATTGCTCATACTTCTGCACCCCACCTTGTTCAGCTGAGAAGACATTTGTTATCAGGGTAGCTAGCCTGCTATGGAGGCATTCCTAGAGCAGCTGCAGATTTTGCGATTCCAATTTGATGTACTCAGCAGCGACGATCAAGAAGACGCATTAGGTATTAGGTTATAGTGTTCTTTTCACAGTATTTCTAAAGTTAAATTAGGGGCCGAGAGGGGGGGGGGGCAGGAGCTTGACGAAACCTGAGCACCTGGCTCTCACATCAAGCTAGTCATTCTTCCTCTGACTTCCTCTGAACCGGCTCTTGGGTGTAGCTCGTGAAATCCGAGGCGCAGAGTCACAAACCAACAGAGTACTTCCTGGCCAAAAAGCCTTATGTACGCAGCATTGCCACCATGAGTGAGTTGGTTCCTAGTGCTAAAAACCCTCCCCTGTCGTTATTGCCTATCGAGGCACATCAATGGCTGGGGATCTTGGTCGAGTCCGTACAACCCCACCCCAAATTGGTGGCTTGGTATGACCCTCCCTCACGCCCTAGTTCCCTATAGTCGGGGGGGGGGGGCGTAAAGCACATGTGAGACGAGAAAATCGCAAGGAAAAAATGACCTACCACTTTCTTAGATTTTCCCAACTTCATCCCAGTTTTTCCGGAGTTTCCCGAAACTTTTCCTACATTTTTCAAAAAATATTGCTGTCGAGTCGAGCGGGGGGCGGACGGGAGTAGGGTGTATAACGCGTGTGAAACAGGAACCTCTCTCAGAGGGCAGCATATCCGACCTCTTCTCCCCCAGCGACCAAATAAGGCCTTACTTTTGGAGAATCCCCAGCAATGAAGTTCCCTGTTACCGCTGCTCGGATGTATTAAACTGTGCCCGCAGGCTCAGTCAAACTATACTGGACCATAGCAGTGGGCGGGGTATGTTGCCATTCTCGTTGTTCGCCTGCTTCCAACTGCACTGAATAGCACTTTAGCGAACAATTAGACCAGGGACTGCAGAGGGTTGATAGCCGTGTGTAGGCCGAAGGTGTCCGTCATGTACGCGGGTTACCTGTACTCGTTAATCTACTATTATTTAATAATGTCCAGCTTCTACCTTCTTGCAACCTTGGCATGTTAGTGGTAAATGTTTTGCTTCTTCTATCACGTGTTTGCCTCGCGTGCTTGTTAGGTGGAACATTTATTGAGGCTTCTGAAGACGACTGGTTCGTCGCCTTCAGAGGCCTGAATATGTTTCAAGATGAACCGGCGGCACAGTGTTTAGAGCTCGTCTGAGTTCCAAGGTTTATTCCACCCAGTCACTTGCTACCAGGGTAGTAATCGATCAAACTGGAACTCACTCTATGGCACGTTCAGACTTCGTGACGGCGGCGGTTCGGCCCTTATTATTATTAAATATTGTCCCCGCCGGTAAGTTTGAATTCACGTAATTGTCGTCATCTGGTGGGGCTCGTATACTATGTTGGATCCGCCACAGCTGAAGAGGTCCTTAGTGGGGTAGGTCGTAAATGTACATCTTGAAAAATGTTCCCTCCGAAGACGACGATCAAGTCGAAACGTCGGGCCTTATTTGTAAATGTGCACCTAACAAATTCATGAGGCACAGAAGTAGCTAAACATTATTTAGTGTATCTTTTTTAACTCTCGCTCCTTGCAAGCGAGAACGAGTCACATTGTGAAAGGCCAAAGGTAGGCATATGCAAATTATCATCTTATGCACGGCTTAATTATTTTTCTAGTTATCACAAGAATGCTGAGTTATGGGCAAAAGTCGGACCACGGACGGGATTCGAACCCGCATCTTCTGCTTACCGGGCAGTTGCGTTCCCTATTACGCTACCGAGGCCACTTTTGACCATTGAGACTACTAGAACTAAACTAGAGACCATCAGCACAAATAGCCATTGAGCTGAGTGGTCAAAAGCGCAACTGCCCGGTAAGCAGAAGATGCGGGTTCGAATCCCGTCCGTGGTCCGACTTTTGCCCATAACTCAGCATTCTTGTGATAGCTTTCGTATCGCGTACTGCGGCGTTAAACAGCAGTTATCAAACAACAGCTTGAAACATATTTTTCTAGTGCTTTTGTCTGAGCAGTTGTTGGGAACGGTTTCTTAACCGGCGGTCACGGTTCCCTGCACAGGCCGCGCAACCAGGAGCGATTATTGTCTTCGAGTTGTCTTACTAGACATTCTACGCCGGCTTTTGGGACCCCTACAATCGTATCCTTGATACGCCACAGGGTTAGTTCCGCGCCATCGCGGGGTTCGCTGTACTTGTTAAATGTCGGCACCTCCTGTCCGAGGCATCATGTATAGTGGCTTCCTTTTTTAACGAACGATTTTTGCCGATGGGTTCTTCACTCATCCTTCTGAATTTTGCTATTTTTATAAAACTGTACAGAACGTCGTTGCTTTCAGCAGCAGTAGCGGAGACGGTTGGTGCGATGAGGGATGCGAGCGTTCGTCGTCGATTTGAAAAGGAAATCGAACTCACTCTGGCTTGGGAAGCGGAGAAGATGATCGTGGTGGGTCTATCAGTTCAAATACTTATTGCAGTTTTGGTTACTTTAAAACTAGCGTTTTTCCCAAAGCTACGTTAGGGTATATCGCCTAGCAGCAAAGTCGAAGGTGACTGCAGCACTGCTAGCTGATTTGTACTGGTCCCTGGTTCTTGCACGTCATCCGTCGACATCACGGGCTCCATTCTTGTTCAGAACCGTTTATATTCCTCATTTTCGTCGTGTGTAACCGCTCGCGACGAATTTGGAATATAATGTATGCCTAATGCAAGCAGTAAAATCGTGGAATATGGACGATTTCGAAGAGGAGCGCTGAAACCCGTGAATTAAACGCATGACGTGCGGGGTGCCCCTTGCAGCGCCTATTTCGCCGCGACTTGTAAGTAACGCTCCCACCCTAGGAAGACAAATGAGCTGCTCTGAGAAGTCTTGGTGGAGTTTCAAAACAGCACTAAGCCTTCTGTAATGTCTTGGGTGTGCAAAAGTGTGGAGTGCTTTTTCGATTGGGTCATTTTAGGAACGCTTCGCCGGAGACTGGTCCTCAGTCAATTCCTTTAACGAGCCGTCGACTTCGTCATTTGGTTTTGGAACATCTCCGACATTTTCTGAAAATAACCTTGAAAGGAATGACCGGAATGACCCTGACTTTTCCTGTGATCAGCTCTCCAATGGGGAAGGCATACGTTGTGAGTTTTGCGTAGAATTCACATAAATTACACGAAATTTCGATGGGATTGTGGCACTTCTCCGCGTGTTGAGTGCTCTTCATGCTTTATTGAGATGAGGCTCTTCCGAACTTATGTGATGGCTTTTCGGTTCCTGAGCATTTCCTCGAGTCTAGAACAACAGTTACACGAGACGGTCAATAATGATGCTATTATGAATGCATAAAAGGCGCATTTCGACACAGTTCTAGACATACAGTTCGGCTTGGGGGGCATTTTGCTGACTAGGTTTGGGGCGCTGTTTGTCGACGGGGGGGGGGCATTTTGTACTACCATTGCTTCCCTAGTTCCGGTTTACAAATCTCACCCTGGTAAAACTTGTGAACCCTTGTGAAGCTGGTGCAAGATCGTCTAGCCACCATCCTAAAACGTGTCAACTCGAGAAAAGGCTACCTAGATGGGTCGGCACATCTATGGAAAGCA